GGAGAGAGAACAAAAAAGCGAGAGAGAGAGAGAGAGGGAAACATAAAGAGAGAAAGAAAGAGATAATTTGGAATGGCCCAAAGACGGTTCCGCACGGGTGTCACATGTCATCCCCTTCTAGCCTTTCAAAATCTTTCTGGAACATCTTAACATCGCGAGGATCCGAAACCGAACTGGGACAGATTTTCCTTAGGTTTTGGGTCAATTTCGGCCTCCTTGGAGGGGGACGTTAACTAAGGAGCCCCCTTTCTTTGATCGAGAGCGTTCCAGATGACCCCAAGACGGCCCGAAAAGCCTTCAAGAGACTCCAAGCGGTCCGCAAGAGGCCCCAAGAGGCTCCCCAGAGGCACCCAAAGCGCTCCGAGATGCCCCCCAAGAGCCAGCAATGGGCGATTAAGACGTCCCAAGATGCCTTTGAGAAGCCCTCAAGACACATCAGAAGAGACCCAAGGAAGCATCCAAGGGGCCTCTGGCCCACACAGGCCCCCGGTATCTCCAAATGATGCCACGACCCAACGTTCAGGGCAACCACTCTGGGCATCGTTTCTGGATGGGCTGGCGTGGATAGTTTTTTGGTCAACAGGCTCGCGAGGCGGGTCGAAAACCGTCCGAACACTAGTCGGGCCGCGACTAGGCAGCAGGAAAAGAAAGGCAAGCGAAGCGAGCGAGCGGACAGCCACTCAGAAGGAGAGCCAGAACCGATACTCTCAAACCCGGCGTTGAAAATCCCAGTGGCGACCAGCAAGTAAGCGCAGCCCAAATGGCGCGGCGGCGCGAGCTGACGTGGATACGCGAAGCATTGATAATTGCAAATAAATTGCTCATGTGGGGATGGAACCACATCGATAATACACGTAGCTTTGTAAACCGGCATGCAACATTGGGAACGTGAGACACACAACCGCAACACATGTGCCCTCCGCACCCTCTTTGTCCCCGCCCCCTTGCCCAAATTAGCTCAACTCGGACAGTTGCCACAGTCTGAGACCCTGACACGCCAGAGACGGAAAAATACCGATGAACCCGGCACGGCCCCAATTAGGGGAAAGCTTCCTACTGCATGGGCGCATTGCTCGGCATTGCTTGGCATTGCTTGGCATTGCTTGGCATTGCTTGGCATTGCTTGATATTGCTTGGCATTGCTCGGCATTGCTTGGCATTGCTCGGTATTGCTTGGCATTGCTTATCCAGGGAACCCGAGAAACCTACGAGGAACGGGCAACGTGAGAATCGAGGGCACCGGGGGCGAGGAACCTGGGGAACCCGAGGAACCAGGGAAACCTCCGAGCAACGGGCAACGTAAGAATCGGAGGCACCGAAGGCGAGGAACCCGGGGAACCCGAGGAACCCGGGCAACTTTCGAGCACCGGGCAACGTAAGAGTCCGAGGCACCAACCTTTAACAAGCCTAATTGGGGAACGTACTCTTATACCTAAAAACAGGGGAGCACCAGGACAGACACAGACCCAGCAATTCTGTTTACTTCTGCCTCTGCCTCTGCTCTTCCTCTTTGTCCCAGCCCCCTCCTCATCTCCTCCTTCTCCTCTTCCTCCTCCTCCTCCTCCTCCTCCTCCTCCTCCTCTGTACGTTTCTCCTCCTCATCCCTCTCCTCCTCCTACTCGCTTCATTTGCCCTCCATTACCGCCCTCACCCACCTCCTCCTCCTCCTCCTCCTCCTCCTCCTCCACCCGTTTCTCCTCCTCTTCGTCCTCTCCCCGCCCTCGTCCTTCCCGCCTCCTCCCGTCCCTTCACCTTTCTCTCTTCCTCTCTCTCCCTCCCTCTCCCCCTCCCTGCCCCTCCTCTCCCAACCAGCGTTTTGATTCTGCTCCGCCTGCTAGTCATACCCTGGTTTTGTTTTCCTTTCCCCCCTCGTCTGTCTCCTTTTCCTCATCCCCTCCACCGGCCCAACATTCCGATGGATGCCGTCCCGCTGGGACCGCACGTGTGCCTGCCGCACCCTGTCTGTGCCACCCACCTGGGCGACCTGCGGCCCTCGCCCGTTGTCCAAGCACCTCGAGCACTGCTTCGACGGCTTCACTGCTTCGCCCACTTGCAGTGCCCGCACGGGGCTCCGCCTGCGCCCGTGGGTGCCCCGGCGCCGCGGCCCGGCAGCTGCCGCGGCCCCCGCCGGCGGGGCTGGCCGCGCCAGCGTACTCCAGTGCAAATCCGTCCGCCCCCGAGGGGCCTCTTCTTCCCCCCCTCTCCGCGGCCGCCTGGCCTCCCCGCTTTCCCCTCGTGCACGCCGGCCAACTCGCTTGTCGGCGCCCCCGTCTAGCTCTTTCGCTGGTGCATCGAACTCTGCCTCGTCTCCGACGGAAGAAAATCTTCTTTTCCTCCTGCTCCTCCTCTGGGGAGGCGGCTGCTGCCAATGCTTCTGCTGACAGCTCAGCCAATTCCACCTGCTTGTCCTGCTCTCCTCCTCCCCCACCCCTTTTCCTTCCAAATAACTCCTCCCTGTAACGCCCCCGGACGTGTCGGTAGGGCGGGCCGGGTGTTTCGCGTGAGACTCCCTCACCGTTCTTGGCCTGGAAGCTTGACATTTGCTACAGTTTCGAATCTGGAGGGCAGATGGTTTTCAACATGTGGCCCTCGCCGTAGCGCCGCGCGCATTCGTCTTAACAACTTGCTGCAGTTTCAAAGATGGCGGTTCCTATTCAACATGTAGCTCTCGCATTAGCGCAGCGCACATTCGTCTTAAATGTTCGCAATAGTTTAAAACTTTAGGACGGTCCATTTTTCAAAGTATCTCTCTAGCTTGAGCTCCGCGTGCATTCGTCTTTAAACTTCGCAACGGTTTCGAAGACTCGCTGGGTTGAAGACCCATGAGCAGTGTTCTGGCACGACGTGAGATTGTTGAGACACAACAATCATGTTGACTCGCCCTGTTAAATCCCTAAGAAACAGTGTTCTGGCACGATTCAAGATTATCAAGACGCAACCGTCATGTTGATTCGTGGCGCTGAAGTCCTGGGAGTGGTGATTTGGTACGAGTGAGGATTCTCAGACGGTTGTCTTCTAGTGGGACACTTCCCGCAATGAGAACAAATTCTTGCAGGCTGGCCCAGGGGTTCGCTTGAACCTTCCTCGCGATCCCACCACCCCTCTGGGCTTTTACCCCTCTTCCCAATCCTCTCCTTCCCCTGCTCGGGGGAGAGGTATATCATTGCCCTCGCTATATACTCCCCCTCCCCCGCCCGACCGGCGACGATCCCAGGACAATGAAGGTTCCCCCCCCGCCGTCCCTGTCAAAAACATGCAAATCGCAGCTCGCGGCAAAATCTTGAGTCATGTTCGGGGGCCCCGCGAGCATTTTAATTTTTGACAGGGACGATGGGGGTGCCAGCATGTGGCCTGCTGTGCGCAGGGCCACCATCCCTGTCAAAATGTCCCGGCGAAGAAAATACAGCCATATGCAGTTGTGGGTGGCGCAATTGTGAATATTGTTTTCGGTGAAGCTCCGTGTGAAACCACGGAACGTGTGAGGGGTGCGTCGTAGTGGGTGGGGGAAACGCATGTGAGCACTGCCACAGGGGCCTTCGGTGGAGCTCCTTATGGGGCCACGAAGCGTGTGAGAGGTGTGCCGAATCGGGTGCGGGTGCGACATTCGGACCCTTCCGCTGGGGCCTGATGTGGAGCTCCCTATGCGGCCACGAACTGTTAGGGGTGTGCCGAATCTGGTACGGGTCACCCATGAGAACTGTACCACTGGGGCTTTCGGCGGAGCTGCCTATGGGGCCACGAAACGTGTGAGGGGCGTGCCGAATCGATTGCGGGTTCGCTTTGCGGACTGTGCCACTGAAGCCTTCGGGGGAGCTCCCTTTAGGGCCACGCGACGTGTGATGGGTGTGCCGAGTCGGGTGCGGGTACGCCGTGCGGACTGTGCCACTGAAGCCTTCGGCGGAACTCCCTTATGGGGCCAAAAGACGTGTCAATGGTGTGCCAAATCGGGCGCGGGTACGCCATGCGCGCGCTGCTGGGGCATTCGGTGGATCTCCTTATAGGGCCAAGGAGCGTGTGTTGTGTGCGTGTGTGTGTGTGTGCCCAATCGGGTGCGGGTATGCCATGCGGACTGTGCCGCTGGGTCTTCCGGTGGACCTCCCTATGGGGCCACGAAGCGTTCGAGGGCCACACACACAAGAAGATGCTGAGAACGAGGATGATGGCCATGATGATGCTGCTGATGATGATCATGATAATGATGGCAATGATGACAGCGACGATTATGACGACGACGATGGTGATGCTGATGCTGATGCTGCTGTTGCTGCTGCTGATGATGATAGTGATGGTGATGGTGATGGTGATGGTAATGCTGATGATGGTGAGGTGTATTCTTGTGCAACGTATGCATGCGTAAGGGCGGTTCCTCTCCAAAGCGGGGCTCTCGCTGGATGCCTCGTGGAACAGGGGACGGCTTGTAGGAGTTCTTCAGGAGGGAACTTTTGGGAACGAAGGGCGCATTGCAACATCGTTGTTGCATCCTGAACTTACTATGGTCTTCTTCTTCTTCTTCTTCCTCCTCCTCCTCTTCTTCCTCTTCCACTTTTTATTCGCCATACTGGGTATCTCCTCCTCCTCCTGATCTCCCTGTGCCTCTTTCGCTTCCTCTCCCTCGTCTTCTTCTTCCTCCTCTCCTTTCTCCCCCTACTCCTTCTCCTCTTCTTGCTCAGGAATTTCCTCTTCCTTGTCCACTTCCTCCTCCTCCTCCTCCTCTTCATCGCGGGAGCATGCCGTTTTGTTCTTGACTTAAAACAGGGATGTTGCGTGAAGATATAATGGAGTTACGTCTCTGGCGGGTTCCCTGGGATTTTAAAATATATCGTAGGCATGAGGTGCCTGCTCCATCCTTCTCTGTCCTTCTCCCCCTGTCTCCTCCTCCGCCTCGTTCTCCCTGCTCCTTCCTCCTCCTCCTCCTCCTCCTCCTCCTCCTCTTCCTCCTCTTCCTCCTCCTGACTGCTCCCTCCTCGGGCGCGAACGCTCGCTGTGGGGCGGGGGCTCACTCTTGCCAGGCGAGCCAATCCACCGGCTCGTTCTGGCTGCGCCACGAGATCGCGTCGACCTCACCGCCCAATCGGCAAATGGGGGAGGGCGAGAGAACCACCGTTAGCCCTCATCACCGGCCAATTCCCTCCACAAGGTCGTCTCGTGCCCTCTCGGCGTCGCGCGCCAAATTCTGCTTGAAGCTATCGTGCCGAGGGGGTCGACGCTGGTACGGAGGGTCGATGCGAATCCGCCTATAGATTCCCCTCTTGGCCTACAGCTCGCGTGGGGTCGCTGTTCTAAAGCTCTCGCCGAGGTCTCGTGCCTCATACAATGATTGCGCCAAAAGGCTCTTCCTTCGCTGTTGGGTGTATGTGTGGGTTTTCCGGATTTTCGCCCAGCGCCCACATACTGCCTGCTCCGTGTGCTTGCTCTCACTTTGCCCGCCCTCTGCGGCTGCCCTCTGTCCCTCACCCCTCTCGTGCTGACGGACAATGAATGCGCTCCGCTCTGGATGCCTGACCCGCGCTCTGGCCGACCTTCTCGGGGCTTCGCCGGCTCGGTGGATTCCCGCGTGACTTTTCGGGAGCCGAGAGGGCCCCAATACGGGCCAAGAGGGCCCCAAGAGGCCCCCGAACCGTTCCAAGAAGGCCCCGAGTCAGCCCAAGAGCGCTGCAGGATGGCTCAATACGGTCCTAGGGGATCCAAAGATGCCCTTGGAGCGCTCCAGGAGGGCCCTCCAAGAGGGCCCAAAGAGGCAACACTCATTGATGTTACAACGGTTCTGGCACGACTTTAGCGTTGTTGCCCTTCCGTGTTTCTGACCGACCACGACGGCCCAATAGGCACCCGAAAACGCCACGAGACGGCCCCAAAAGCTCTTGAGAGGGCACCAAGACAGTCCAAGCGACCACCAAGACGTCCCAAGATTGCCCTAAGACTGGCCAAAGAAGGCCACCGAGGGAGGAACACGAGTCGACATTTCGAGTCGCCCCAGCATGACCCCCGAGACCACCAGCAGGCCCCCCTATGCCCGCCAGAAACTCGGGAGGCCCCCAAAAGGCCCCCGAGAGGTTTCCAACACACTCCCAAACCGCTTACAAAAGGCTACCGAAAGGCCTCCAAATATATCCCCGCAGGCATCATCCCAAAGGCCTTTGACCTACAACCAAGGCACGGTGGCGGGATGGACTGAACGCTACTACGTGTGTGTATGTATGTATGTATGTAGGTAGGTATGTATGTAGGTATGTATGTATTTGTGTGTGTACGTATATATATATATATATATATATATATATATATCTATATCTGCACATACACATGTTTATACACACTCCGAGTTTTTTGATAAGCGTCTGGGGGGCGTCACCTCCGCCGACAACCCCACATCGAACCCCGTCGCGGGCAGCCACCGCGCGCCGAAGCGCTCCGACCCCCGTCGCGGCGCGACGACGAGGCGAGGTTGACCCCCGTCGGGGTGGTACCACCCCTATGCTTATGAAGACACCACATGTATGTATGTATGTACGTATGTGTGTGTATGTATGTATGTATGTATGTATGCATGCATGCATGTATGTATGTGTGTGTATGTATGTATGTATGTATGTATGTATGTATGTATGTATGCATGTATGTATGTATGTATGTATGTATGTATGTATGTATGTATGTATGTATGTATGTATGTATGTATATGCGTGTATGTATGTATGTATGCATGTATGTATGTATGTGCGCATGCATGTATGTATATATGCATATATGTATGCATGTATGGATGCATGCATGTTTATATGTGTATACGTATATGCATATGTCTGCATGTATGCATGCAAGCATGCATGCATGTATGTATGCATGTATGTATGTACATGGTTGTCCCCAAGATCATGCAATTTATCTTGAATCGTATTCCCGTTCACCATCCTCTTATTCATCTTTCCCTGGGTGCAACGAAGCGTTTTTTTGTTTGTTGTTGTGGTTTGTTGGTTGGATCCTCTGTTTTCTTGGTTAAGGATGCAGGGAAACACTGCGTATTTTTGGTTATTTTGTCTTTTGGTTTTAGAAACTCAAGTGCTCCCCGCGGCCTCCCCCAGCACCTCCTCCTTCTCCCCCTTCCTCTTTCCCCCTCCTTCCCCTCCTTTCCCTTCCTTTCCTCCTTGTTGCAAAGCAAGAGAACCAAGACTATACAGTGTTTGGCGCCCTTGGATCAAGGAACTGCTGTGTATGTTTGGTGTTTCTGGCTGTTTTGGTATAGGATGCATGGGAACACTTTTTTGTTTGTTTGTTTGTTTTGTTTTGTGGGTGTGTGTGTGTTTTGCTGGAAGCTCAAGTGCTCCCCGCGGCCTCCCCCCCCAGCGCCTCCTCCTTCTTCCCCTTCCTCTTTTCTCCTCCTTCTCCTCCTTTCCTTGCTTCCTCCTTGTTGCATTTTTTTTTCCTTTTATTTTTATTTTTATTTTTTTCCTTATATGTTTTTTGGCATAGGATGCAAGGGGGCACATTACTTGGGGAAGCTCAATTGCTCCCCGCGGCCTCCCCCCCAGCAACTCCTCCTTCTCCCCCTTCCTCTTTCCCCCTCCTTCTCCTCCTTTCCCTTCCATTCCTCCTTGTTGCAAAGCAAGAAAGCCAAGAATACACAGTGTTTGGCGCCCTCGGAGCAATGAAACGCTGTGTATTTTTGACGTCTCTGTTTTTTTGTTTAGGATGCAAGGAAACACATTTTTGTGGTTTTGGACGCTCAAGTGCTCCCCGCGGCCTCCCCCCCAGCGCCTCCTCCTTCTCCCCCTTCCTCTTTCCCCCTCCTTCTCATCCTTTCCTTTCCTCCTCCTTGTTGCAAAGCAACAAAACCAAACATACATACTGTTTGGCGCCCCTGGTGCAAGGAAACGCTGTGCATTTTTGGCATCACTGTTTTTTGGTCTAGGATGCAAGGAAACACGGTGTATGTTTGTTTATGCTGTTTTTTTTGGAAGGGTTTTGGAAGCTCAAGTGCTCCCCGCTGCCTCCCCCCAGCACCTCATCCGCCTCCTTCTCTTCCGGAGCTCCCAAACCAAAACAACAAAACCAACAAACACTACACAATGTTTCCTTGCATCCTAGACCAACAACAACCAAAACAACCAAACATACACAGCGTTTCCTTGCTCCGAGGGCGCCAAACACTGTGTATTCTTGGCTTTCTTGCTTTGCAACAAGGAAGAGGAAAGGAAAGGAGGAAAAGGAGGGGGAAAGAGGAAGGGGGGGAAGGAGGAGGTGCTGGGGGGGAAGCCGCGGGGAGCACTGGGGCTTCCAAAACAAGACAAAACAAACCGAACAACAATACATACGCATGGTTTCCTTGCTGCTCAGACCTAAGAAACCCAAACAACCAAACATACACAGGGTTTCCTTGCATCGATGGCGCGAACACATGGTGTATTTTTGGTTTTCTTGGTCTGGGGCGCATGGAAGGGTGCTGAGAGGGAGGCCAGCGCGAGCATGGCCAGCAAAACCAATGACAAATCAGCAAAACCAACAGTACACAGGGTTTTCTTCAGGAGGAGGAGGAGGCGGAGGAGGAGGAGGAGGAGGAGGAGGAGGAGGAGGGGGAGGGGGGAGGAGAGATCGATCTACGATGGCGGTGCCAGACAAGAAAATCAATGATCTTTTGGGGGGGCGACCATCTATGTGTATATAGTTATAAATGTATATATATATATATATATATATATATGTATATGTGTATGTATGTATGTATGCATGCATGCATGCATGCATGCATGTATTATGTATGTATTATGTATGCATGTATGTATGTATGTATGTATGTATGTATATATATACATATATATATATATATATATATATATATATATATGTATCTATGTTTGGGCAGGCGGGGGGTGGCACCGAGGCGGGCGAGGGCGTGGAACATCTGGGCGCGCCGCCGTTGGCGGTCCGAGCGCACTTCCAGCCGGTCCCGGCGTGGGGCACTGATGGGGAGCAAGACATGGCGGACATGCTGAACTTCGCGCACCGCAAGCGCCTCACGAAGTTGGCCACGGAGCTCCTCGTGCTCCCGTGCATGTGCGAGGCGGTCCACGAGGATGTAGGCACGCCCGCGCCGACGGATGCCGCGGTCGGTCCTGCGCCCGCGGGCGAGTACAGACCGCTGGTGACTGCGGCGCGCGAGGAAAGACACTTCTGGGCGACCTTGCGTGACCTCCGCCTCCAGGGCAATCGCGACGAGGATGACGCGGGCGTCGACGACGGCGCGAACGATGGCGCCGGCGGCCTGGGCACCGCCCCCGCTGCGGCCAGGTTCGACGCCAACGTGCGCTCCACGCCCAGCGCGTGCATCGCCGCCCTGGTCGCTGATTCGCCGGAGGCCCAGGGACTCACGCGGGAAAATATGTTGTTCGTCGCCAAATTCGCCAAGGCCTGCGGCGAAGCCTGGGAAGACGACGTGCAAAAGAAACCCTGGAGCGAGAGAAAGGTGACGCACTTGCTCCTGCTGGGCCACGGCGGCTCGGGGGAAACGCACGTGGTGCAGAAGGTCGTCTTCCCAGTCGTAGGGTATTGGTGACCCAGAAAGATGATCGTTGCCTTCTCGAACGCGCAGGCAAAGAACATCTCCACGGAGACTGTCAAGGCCAGAGCGCTGCACAACGCCTGTGCCATGCGAGTCCAGAAGTACATCAACGCGAAGCTGAAGCTGGAAGGCATGCAGAAGTGATTGAAGTGGTTGTGGGAGCACTTCCGAATGCTTGCCATCGAGGAGATCAGCATGGCGGCGGCCGCGCTGTACAACGCGCTGGACCTTCGCGCCTGCCACGGACGCAGTGACACGCACGACGTGCAGGAGTCCTCTTACAAGCGGCCGCACCACCGCTTCGGGCGCGTCCCCGCCGTGTTGCACCTCGGTGCTTTTCTGCAGCTGAAGCCAGCCGGCAACATCGGCCTCCTGACGGACGTGAACGAGCTCCTGGACAACAGGTCGTACACGTACGCGGAACCGCCGACGAGGGATAGTCAGCACGCCATCAAGGTCTTCTCTCAGATCCCCTGCGTCTTCGAGCGGAAGGGGGCTAAGCGCTTCGAGCCTGGGGGCCTTCCGATCACGTTCCTGGGCTACACGCGCGAGAAAACACCCTTACCACCAGAGGTCTGGTCTGATTGGGAAACGACGTTCGCCTCGGACAACCACGGCGTCCCGGACACTCGGCACCAGCACGAAAACTTTCGGCTCGGCTACGGCCTGTGCATCCAGTGGGAGACGCTGGCGAGGTGAATCAACACGCGCGCTCGTCGCGACGCACGGCGTCTGAGCGTGCCCCTCGTTTTCTTGCAGGCCGTGGACGAGTGCAACACGATTCGGGGCGATCCCGACGCGAGCCGGCGCTTGCTGAACGTCCCGAACATGCACAAAACGGGCGACATCCACGGCGTCTTGCCGGCCCACGTCGGCATGGAGGTGCGGTTCACGGCGGTGCAAGAAAAGCTGAAGAAGTTGGGGATCGTGCAGGAGCAACGGGCCACCATCGTGTCCTTCGAGTTCCACCCCGGGGATGAGCAGCGGTACGAGGAGTGCTCGCCAGGCCAGCTCTTTCGCCCCCGCTTCCTGCCGCAAGGAACCTGGCTGCAGGTGCACGGCTTCAAGGAATCTCCGATCTACTGGGAGGTCGCCGAGCTGCTGCGACAGGGCGCCGAAGACGCCGCCGACGACGACGGCCAGGCCGGGACGCGGAGCTTGCTGATGTCCAGGCCCAGCGAGCAAGAACTCACATGGCAGAGCTCGGAGCCGCACTCCGTGCGCCGCTCGGGGTTCACCATGACGCACGCGTCCTACCTCGCCTCCGCGCTGTCTCAGGGCCAGACGCTGCGCAAGGGCGTCACCATCGACTGCGCGCGTAACGAGGACGCCGGCCGCGCGGGCATGTCGGACGACCAGTGGTGGCTGCATATGTACGTTCTGTTCCACCGTGCCACGTGCATGCGGAACATGCTGATCCTGCGGGGCCGCCGCGAGAGTTCCTGGAGCGAGGGCCGCCGGCGTCCTTATGGAAGGCGCCCCCGGAGTTCAATAAGGCAGCGGAGAGCTCCGGGGCAGAGGCGGAGCAGCTCGCGGCAGAGCTGGGCTTTGTGCTGCCTCCCGCCTGAACGCGGCTGCGCCCCGCTCGAAGCCCGCGGGGTTGTCCCAACGGCTTGGTCTCGCGCGCCATCGGCTCGCGGGGTTGTCCCGACGGCCTGGCCCGCGGGGTTGTCCCAACGGCTGCGCGATGTGGCCAGTAGAGAATGCGCCCGTGCTGGCCGAGGCGGCGACGGCGCCGAGGAAACTCAACATGCGCGCTCATGCAATAGAAAAGGTAGGGGGTGGCGGGGCGTGAAAAAAAGGCGAGGAGGGGGCAACATAGGAAACGGGAGGAGGGCCCGCGCCAGGGCGAGAAGGAAAATGACGCAGAAGAGACTGGAAGGGCGCCTCACCAATCGCGAGGACGACGGCGAGGGCTATTTCCAACTTTGCCGAGAATTCTCATGTGGGGTCCTACCGTCGGAGTAAGTCCACCACCAATATGCACGGCTGTGGCTTGACTCTTTCATCATGGCGCGTTCGACTAAATTCGTTCGCGATGGGACCTCCAACTGCCGACCGCACCTGAGGCACCTCTGTGCCGCCGACTCAAAAAGTGTGTGTGTGTGTGTGTGTGTGTGTGTGTGTGTGTGTGTGTGTGTGTGCGTGCGTGCGTGCGTGCGTGCGTGCGTGCGTGCGTGCGTGTGTGTGTGTGTGTGTGTGTGTGTGTGTGTGTGTGTGTGTGTGTGTGTGTGTGTGTGTGTGTGTGTGTGTGTGTGTGTGTGTGTGTGTGTGTGTGTGTGTGTGTGTGTGTGTGTGTGCGCGTGCGTGCGTGCGTGCGTGCGTGCGTGCGTGCGTACGTACGTACGTACGTACGTGCGTGCGTGTGGGGCGGGGAAGGGGAGGAGGATGAGGAAACTGAGGGTGCAAAGAAGATGGATGCGCCCACTGCAGGTCAGGCAGCCCGCACGAACTCACAAGAATCTTCAGGTTCTGTTCCGCGTCGCCAGGGGCCGCCGCCGCGCTCCCCGAGACGGTGCGCATCCGCAGCAGCCGCGCGACGGCGCGGAGGAGCATTATGGGGGGGAGATAATCTAGGGGCCGACGAAAGTGGCAGGCGAAAAGGGGTGATCATCGGGGAAGGCGAGAGGGCGAGGAGCATGATGAGGCGCAGGAGGATGGGGGCAAACGAAAAGGGACCAATCCTCGCCTTCCTCCCCGCTGTCGTGCCGCCTCTTCAGCCGGCGTGTGGGGGAGAAGGTGGTCGGGGCAGACGAAAGGGGGTGATAATCAATCGATTGGGGGATAGACTTCAGAACTGATGTCAAAATTGTTTTCTCCATCCAGTCTACAAAAAAAAACGTGGAATGCCCCGTAGATCTACGGAGCGTTCTGCGCATTCTTCGCAGAAAGAAAAAGAAAACCAAGTCAGGGGTAAATCAATTCTGTAGTCGATCCCCTACTCCAATCAAAGGGGGATTAGCGAATCAGCCTACGTAGCCGATTTCTCTGGCGCCTCCCGGCGCCGGGGGAGCCAGTGCATCGAAGAGCGCGCCAGCCAGCGGGACCGAGGCCAACTGACTCCGTGACCAGAGGCACAGCAAACTGCGTTCAACACTCTCGGAGGTGCGCCGCCATCGGGGCCTCAGCGCCGACACAAGAAATCCGCGCGGAGCTCTGGAGTTTATGCTCATGCCGCCCTTTCTCCTTCGAGTGCCCGCCCCTTTCCCCCTCCCCCCCTTTCTCGGCGACTCCGAGGGGTGTGGTTCGTCAAGGGTGTGGCTTGCAAGCCGCACCCCGGGGGACGGGCGAGGATCTTGGCAGAATTCTCCCTCGCGCCCCGAAGCGGCCCGACGAGGGCAGCGCGGTGCCCTCAAAGGCCGAAGCGGCACTGATCGCAAGCCGCACCCCAGCGCAACATACTCTCTCTCTCTATATATATTCGCTGGGTTTTCGTCCGACCCGAGAGGAGGAAGCCGAGGCAATCTGCATCTCTCTGTGTGCCTCCACTGGCCCGGGGCGGGCGCGCGCCTCCGCCGAGAGGCGGCGGAACTCCGCGGGGTACTCGGTCGGCATGGGCTGGCCCCGCTTCGTCGGGCGGCAGATCACCACCTCGGGAGGGGCAGGATCGGTCCGCATCGGGTCAAGGAATCGGATCGGGTCAGAAAGGTGCGTCGGATCGTGCCGCGTCGGCATGGAATCGCAGTCGGAATCGACTCGGCTGGGCCGCACTGAGATGCACAGCAGCGCAATGCAAGCATCGGGCTGCACCATATCGCCAGGGCACAAGACACGGATCGGATCGAGCCAGCTGGAATCGAGAGATCGAGCCGGATCGATCGGGTCGAAGCGGACCCTGAGGGGAGGGAGAAGAGGACGGGGGGAGGGGCTTCGTCAAGCTAGGTGCGCTCGCGTCATATCTGACGTCCTACCCCTCCCTCCCATCCCTTACCATGGCGCTGATTTTCTCTATCCGCGGACGCGTGTCGTAGCGGACCTGTGGCTCCGTGCGCGCGTGCGTAGTGGGTGGTGGTGCACGTGCGTGCGTGCGTGCGTGTGTGCGTGGTTGTCGTGGTGGTGGTGGTGGTGGTGGTAGTGGTGGTGGTGGTGGTGGTGGTGGTGGTGGTGATGGTGGTGGTGGTGGTGCTGGTGGTGGTGGTGGTGGTGCTGGTGGTGGTGGTGTTGGTACTGGTGCTGGTGGTGGTGGTGGTTGTGGTGGTGGTGGTGGTGGTGGTGGTGGTGGTGGTGGTGGCGGTGCGGCGCGGTGGTGGCGGGCGGATGGGCGCGCGAGAAAGAGGCCCGCGCTGGGGCGAGAACGCCATCCTGAACGACGGAGGCCAAACACCGATCCGAAAATGAGGCCCACGCTGCAGCGGGAGCACGATTCGGAACGATTCGGGAGCAGAAATGAGGCCGGCGCCTCAACGAGAGCAGCATTTTGGGAAAAAATGACGCCGGCGCCTCAGCGAGAGTCGTTTCCCGGGATTTCCCGGGCATCCTATGTAAAAAAACAGTACGCGGAGGGTGCGCGGCTATCACCCGGACGCCATCAGGGGAAGGATTCGGGAGCAGAAATGAGGCCGGCGCCTCAACGAGAGCAGCATTTTGGGAAAAAATGACGCCGGCGCGAGAGCAGCATTTTGGGAAAAAATAACGCCGGCGCCTCAGCGAGAGTCGTTTCCTTGGATTTCCCGGGCATCCTGTGTGTAAAAAAACAGTACGCGGAGGGTGCGCGGCTATCACCCGGACGCCATCAGGGGAAGAGGGAGGGTATATTCATATTGAGTAATTGTCTAGGGGGGAGTCGAGGGTCTCGCCGCCAAAAACCGTTATCAGCTTCGGCCTCCCAGCGGCCGCCTCGGGGCCCTGAGGGTAACGGGTCCTGGACCCCGTGGCTGTAGCCAGGGCCATTTCTTCGTCCCGCGCCGTGTTTGACGGCCTCGGAGCCTGGCAGCGGCCCAAAAGAACGAAAGACGGCGAACAGTCTGCAGGGCCCGTTTCTCTCAGGACCCGCGTGCTTTCCGGCGATGGGTCGGCCCCCGGGGCCTGTCCCTGGGTGTGCTCTGCCTGTCATTTCGAAGCGGATCCAGCCGTGGCCACGAGGTCGCCCCAGGAGGCTCAAGCGAGCCCACACCCCGTCGACAAAAACTTCCATCTAGAGGAACAAACGGCGGCATAATCACAAGAGCAGAAGGTTTCGGAGGGCCGCGCGGATTACCTGGATCTGCGCCAGAAGCCCCCCACTACTTGGTCCGATGCAAGAAGCGCGGGCGGACCTCCGAGAATTTGTCTTTTTGTCGCTTTTTGCTCTTCGACGACCATCGGCCGTCGAACTTCGGCCCTTGCCTCGTTGAACGGCGCGCGGGCAGACATCCGCCTGCCGCTGGGGCCTCTCGGGGTCCGCAGGGGTCGGCAGAGCCCCCGCCGGTGCGGCGGCGAGCTGGGGCGCGTTGGAGGTGTGCCGCTGGGCTCTTGGAGGGGGCACTCTTGGATTCGACTCGATTCGAGCTCATGGAATCCAAGGCGCTGCAATACAGTCAAACCTACACCTTGCGAAATGCTTAAGAAATCATGGGTTAAGAAATTCATAGTCTCAGAACTTGAACAAAAACCCAAGATTTCTATCATGATCTTAAGATTTACATTGAAACGTTAAGAATAATCGAGACTCTGGCCGAAAACTCAGGTTTTCTTAAGCATCGCCTGAGGTGTAGGCCAGAATAACCTCCTTGAAGAACATGAGGCCCTACGCCGGCCCAAACACCCCAGATCATAAGATGACCGAGGGTGCCCTTTCCAAAGATGCCCAAGAGCATCCAACAAACACGAAGAACACTAGGATACCCTCCTCGAACCGACCCTGATCTTACGCCTCGGTCCGACTGTAATGAAGCCTGAGATGTCGTAAAAGCTTCCTGCCGGAGGGAAAGGAAAAAGCTGCAGATGAGCAGAGACTGTCGGCGGCTCGAGCGGATTTCTTGGATCAACGCTGGGCCCTTCTCCCTGGCTCGCGGAGCGCGCCAGGGACGGCGCCGGAGGCGCCGCCGAGTGGGCCCAGCGCCAATCCACGAGACCTGCTCGGACCTCCAAGAATTAGCGCCATGTCGCTCCAGAGCATGCCAAAGGGGAGGAGGAGGAGGAGGAGGAGGAGGAGGAGGAGGAGGAGGAGGAGGAGGAGGAGAGGAGGAGGAGGAGAGGAGGAGGAGGAGAGGAGGAGGAGGAGGAGGAGGAGGAGGAGGACGAGGAGGAGGAGGAGGAGGGTCACATCTCTCGCCAGGGACCCCCCCCGCCAGCGTGACCTCAGCGTCCTCAATGCCCCCTCCCCCTCGCGCTCGCGCTCGCGCCTCCACAGACAGGCTTTGCAGAACCTTTGCCCTGCAAGCTTGGCCCGCCGTGGAAGAGGAAGCTGGGGGAGGTCCAACCATCAGCAGCGGCAGCGAGCAAGGGAGTCGGCTACACGCAAGAGTGACCCTGGGCAAGAATGACCTTCATGGTGCGCGGCTTGACGGGGGACGCGGGGTGGCCAAACCTGGGCGCGCAAGCCGCTGCTGCCGCTTCGCCTTCAGCCATCTGGTGACCCATCTGTGCCCGCTCCAAAGGGCCTTCCCGCGAAAGGTCACTCTTTTGAAGGAATTTCTGTGGAACTCACGTCATCCTGACACCCGGCGCGCGAGGCAATGGCCCCGCCGACCGCCCCCCTGTTCCGCTTCAGGCGAGATCCAGGAAATCCGGCGAATCCGGCGACGAATTCCAAACCGGCGCCCAAAGGTCATTCCCGCGAAAGGTCACTCTTGCGTCCAGTCGAGGGAAAATGTTCAGAAGATCCCTGGCCCAAGTCCCTGGCCCGGGGCCGCGCCTGCGCGCGCTGCCGAGGGGCGGCAGAGGAGGGCCGTCCGGGAGTAGTAGTAGTAGGAGGAGGAGGAGGAGGAGGAGGAGGGGGAGGAGGAGGAGGAGGATGATGAGAAGAGGGTGTTCTTTTTGAGTGCAGGGTCGGACCTAGGACACACCCTCCGCTGGCCAACAAACCCCAAACCACGAGATCACTCGAGGGTACCCTCCCCCAGGATGCACAAGAGCATCCAGCAGACACGAAAAACATCAGGGTACCCTCCCCGAGCCGACCTCGATCGTACATCTCGGTCCGACCGTATATTTTTCTTCTCTGTTTCCCTCCTGACTTTCGGAAGACGGAGTCAGCTGAATGCCAAAACGCACTTGAGCACAAGCATCCGTAGAGGGCATCGCAATGCCGCGTGACAGTAGAGTGCCAGGCTGCGATGGAGTGTACTGAATCTTTCCCGAGATGCGAAAGGGCCCAGTTTTAGGCTGGCGTTCATAATTCAGTCTCGTGCGCTGCACCTGGCCACAGCAGAGAGCGCACTCAGCTGTGTGGCAGTCTGCCCTTCGCGGGTCTGCGATTGCGGCCTCGATGCAGCTCATCAATTGTGTGACGAAGCCAACGGCCCCCGCCATCCCCATCATGCCGGCCAGAATAATGACTCTGATTTGATTTCGGACTCTATCTTACGCGATCGTGAGGGCCCAAAGAACCCGTCTGTAGGTGATATTGCCTCCACTTGCGCATGTCAACACATGACGGAACTGGGCGGAAGGCATCTCGATACACGGCTTGATGACAACATGCAATGTAATACTTGTTCACGCGTGCCCAGCGGCCACGAGGCCAAGTGGATGATGATGATGATGATGATGATGATGATGATGATGATGATGATGATGATGATGATGATGATGATGATGATGATGAGGATGATGATGATGACGACGACGATTATCAGGACAGAGACTGCAGCGCGCATGTCACAGCTGCACCTGTGGGCGGCCGGGCCTTCAAGACACTACTGGGCACAAGGCTGTTGAGGCCGCCTCTCGATGATGGCGGATCGGCACGGCAAGAAGCATGCGTGGCAAAGCGGGAAAATGCGAGGATGCACCCTGGGACGGAGGGCGCGAAGATGGTGATGAACATGGTGTTGTTGTTGTTGACGCTGCTGTTGCTGACACCAGATGGTGGTGACGTTGAGGATATGACCATGACGGTGATGAGGAGGGGAGGACGACGGCGAGAAGGGGCAATGGGGAGGATGAGGGATGCGGAGTGAGAAGGGAGGCAGATGATGGTGGGGCATGGTGGGGCGCGAAACAAATTGCCACCCAGTCGTCAAGATCCACCCTGAGGAACTCCTTGAGCTCGTGGATCTGGATGTCGTACCTTCGAGGCGTTTGCATCGTGCGAGGAAGAATGTGCACTTTCTCGTGCGCAGCGTTATTCGAACACATCTGCACGCCCTCGTGAGTGGCGCGCTTCGCAAAAATCCCATCCGACTCAGGCCCCCGACTGCCGATCAGTTCGCTCCTGACCTCGCTTCGAACCTTTGCAGCTGTCAACATCCCCCCGAGGTTCCATGACTCCCCTCCGAGCTCCCACATCTTCGGTGGCAACTCATGGGAGCCTCCCATGCCATCTTGCTGGCTCTTGTGAACCGACGCTATCCGACGCTACATCTTCGCTGATCGACGCCAGATCGTTGCTATTCGACGCTAAATCGGTGCTTTCATCGATGATCAGACGCTAGCAAACGCGAGTGCCCCCCAAAGACGGAATCGCGAGGACATACAAGGCTCCAGTGATTTGATACCGAACATATGGCGGGCTCAACAACCCTGACCCAACAAACCTTGCCATCTCGTAGGAGGCCGACTTTTACCTCCGCTGGCTTCCGCCGGCTTCCGCCGGTGGAGGCGGCCTCGTTTTGCTCCCGCCGCCTTCCGCCAGCCTTCCGCCGAGGAATATATATATATATATGTTTATAAAAATAAAATATGTACAAGACTGCAGTGGCGCTTCGCGCCATGCACCTTGGTCCTTGAAGTTTTGTATGCCGGCGAAATAGCAGGAAGGTCAAGTCGACAATTTAGCGATAACTCCTTGTTGCCTTTTCCGGCATCGCCGCTATAGTAATGTTATTCGTTATCCTTTCTCCATGCTTCTGTTTCCTTATTTTCGCCATACCCTGCGCACACTCCCCATCCTCCTCAGCTCTTTTTGCGGAGGCTCCTCCTCGGAGAGCCTCTGGGGGCCTCACAAAAATTGTTTCAGGCTTTCTTAAGGCCTTATGGAAGCCTCCTGGGCGTATTCTGGGGGCCTCCGGGGGCTTCCTCGGGCCACCCTGCCTCCAACCGCGGTCTCGCTGAACGACCGGGTCACGATTCGGAATGCTTCGGAGGGTGTCTTTGGGCCATCTTGGGCCGCCATAGGGGCTCTCTGAGGGCCATCTTGGACCCGTGTTGTGCCGTTTTGGGGCTCTCTTGGACTGCCTCGAAGCCCTGTCGGATGGTTGTGGGGCGATTTTGGAGCACCCCAGGTGGCTTCGAACGCCCAGAAGACCGCCGTCTTGGAGCGTCGGGAAGCCGAATAGAGAAGAACCGCAGACTTCACCAAAAACCAACAGAAAATCAATGACTTTTGCCTCGGGGGGCCTTCTTGCGAGTGCTCTTGGAGGCCTCTTTGGGGCCGTCCTGGAGGCCTCTTGGGCCATCTTGAGGTCACGTCGGTCACTCTTGGAGCGCTCTTGTGCTGTCTTGGGGGTCTCTGGGACGTCTCCGATGACCCCCCTGATCGCCCTAGGTGTGCTGGGAAGGCTTGGCAAAACGCCCTGCGAGGCCCAGGGGCCGCTTCGAGGCCCGTCTGGAGGTTCCCAAAGCCCCAGATCCCGGGAGTCCGGTTTTTGGGGGGGGAGGTGACGGGTTTTCCCCCCCTCCCGGGCTTGTAAAAATATAGGACGAGGAATATATCAACTCCTTCGATCTTCGAAGGCGAGGCTCTTTCCTGTGTGCCTCATCCCCTCGATACCAATGGCCGAACAATGCCCTCCCCTCAAGCTCTGCTCTCCGCCCGCCTCGGCACGCGCGCGGCCAGACGCGCCGCGGCGAATACCGCGCCCTTCGTGGCCTGTGTGAGGGGGAGGGAGTGGAACGCGCTCCGTACTGATCCGAACGGCACGCGCGAGGACCGCTGTTGCTCCCCGAAGAGCCACTGGCTGTCCACTGGATGCCTCCTGGGAGAGAGATGCATGTGAGGACGATGACGAGGAGGACGAGCGTACGAAGGGAGTCCAGATCCCTCGCCTGGAGCCCGCGCGGCGGCGGGTGCGCCTCGAGCGGGGGCAGTGACGAGGAGGATGAGGAGGGTGACGACGAGGATCTGTGCGGCCACGAACCGGTGGTGAGGGAGGGAAGGGGGTGGATTATTCCAGTCACGCCCTGTCGGGCGTGATTTGTTTAGGGCGTTTCCTCTTCCAACCCCCTTCTTCCCATTCGGGGAGGGGTTTGTCCCTCCCCGTCCCCCGCGGTGCAAGCCTCCCCCATCTCGCGCAGTCTGGGGTACTCGAATGAACGGGGCACAAGGTCGAGGCACAGCGCGAACAGGATAGACGGGGAGAGAGCGAGAGAGAGAGAGAGAGAGAGGGAGAAAGAGACCAGCATGACTGGTTGGTTGGTTGGACCCTTTCGGATCTGGTATGGGCCTGCGGGCACGGCCTCTTTAGCACGATTGCCAGGCGGAACGCGACCCATCGAGGCTCTAACCTGGCCCAACCCCAGCCATCGCTTGAAGACTGCAGAGGGGAGGAAGGGCCCTCGAATGCCTCCACGTGCACGGTTTCCCCGGGGGCCGTAGGCGATCCGAGGAGGAGGAGGAGGAGGAGGAGGAGGAGGAGGAGGAGGAGGAGGAGGAGGAGGAGGAGGATCAGGAGGAGGAGGAGGAGGGGTCGCCTAAGCCCTTCGGAGAAACCCTCCACCTCCACGACGGTCAGCCACGCAGCGACCCCAGAAGGATCACCTCAACACGAACCCTCAGGCCGTCAGTACGGCTGTCGAAAATGCAAACCAAGGCCGGCTCCCGGAGGAAGCATCGAAAGACCCCGACACGGCCCGACCCGGAGGACGCCCCTGGCGGGCCCGCGGGCCCAATTGCGGAGGTGGCCGCTGGAAGGGGGAGGTGGGCGAGGGATGCAGGCAAGCAGGCCTCAAGGCAGGAAAGCGGTGGTGGAGGCGGTGTTCACGGAAGCACGCCCATGCAGGCACGACATGGTGTGGACAGGAGCTGTGTCTCACGCCGCGCTCTGTGTTCATCACAGCTTCTGCGGGGCGGGTCGCCGTGATCATTTTATCTGCTCTTCGCCGGGGCCGAATGACAATTGTATATGGTAGTACGGTGAGAATGGGGCCTGTGGGACGGCCTAAGCGGCCCGCAGGAAGGCGCCGAGACAGCCCGAGAGGGAGAGGTCTCCAGGACGGGCCAAGAGGCTTCCCAGACGGCCTAAGAGGGCCCCAAGAACTCCCCAAGACGGGCCCCAGTGCGAGGACACGAATCGACCTTTCGAGCGCACCGCCCCAAGACGTCCCCAAAAAGGCCCAGAGATGGCTCCCAGAGGGCCCAAGAGGCCTCCAAGACGACGCTGGAAGTTCGACGCCCCCCAAGAGATGGGGTCTCTCGGGGCCCTCTTGGGCCGTCTTGCATGCCTCTTGGGCCGTCTTGGGGCGATGTGGGCCGTCTTGGGCACCTCTTGGGACTGTCTTGGGTGCTTCTTGGGCCGTGGAGCCTTTGGAGCCGTCACGGGGCCGTCTCGGGCCGTTTGGGAGCCCTCCTGGGGGCGTCTTGGGGCGATCTTGGGGGCCTGTGCAGCCGTCTTGGAGACTGTGCAAACGAAAAGAAGGAACATTCTCAAAAGGTACGTTTTCCGAGGGAAATGGGATGATATTTGCCTCTTGGGGCTCTTCTGGGGGTCCTCCCGGACCGTCTCGGGAGCCTCTTGGCCTGCCTTGGAAGCCTCTGGGGCTCGCTTGGGGTCCTCTTGGGGCGTCGAGGCGCCCTCTTGAGCGTTTCTGAGCCGTCTTCGGGCCGTTATTGGGCGCTCTTGGGCGCCTCTTGGGCCGTCTTGGAGACGGTGTAAACGAACAAAAATAAACGTCCCGCAGGGGATGCCACGTTTTTTTTGTTTTTTCCTCTTGGGGCTCTCCTCGAAGCCCCCCTGGGCCGTCTTGGGAGCCTCCTGGCCTGCCTTGGGGGCCTCTGGGGCTGTCTTGGGGCTTCCAGGGCTGCTCTGAGGCCGTCTTGGCGCCCCCTCGAGCCTCCCGGAGCCGTCCCGAGGCTGTCTGAGGCCGTTTGTGGGGCATTTGGGCCCCCCCTGAGTCAAGACAGAAACCCTTCTCGCACGCGGAGGTGGCTGCATTGTAGAAGAGACTAGGGCTGACCTGAGGATTCCGCTCACGAGATCTGCATGAAATGTGACGTAATTGTGCACGTACTGCCGAAAGGCTGAAATAACCACGTGGGACTCGGCCCTCGCATTCAACGCTGCGTGCTGCTGCTTGCTGCCGGTGTTGCCTGCTGTTGGTAATGCTTACCACTGCTGCGTGTCGTTGTTGCTTGTGGCTGCCGGGTGCTGCTGATGGCCACGTCTGCTGGTGCGTGCTGTTGACTGCTACCTGCTGCTGCTGCTGCTGCTGCTGGTGCTGGTGCTTGCTGTTGTGTGTGTGTGCTGTCGCTGCTGCTGCTGCTGCTGCTGCTGCTGCTGCTGGCTGCTTGCTTCTTTTTTCGTGCTGCTGCCGTTCGGGTAATGGGAGCGGTTTGGGTCGCCCCAGGATGATCTTGAGCCACCCTGAGGCTGCATCAGGGCTCAGGCTGGACATTAAGAAGCAACAGTGGGCCTTATTTTCCAACAGTGTTCCATTGTGGCTTTGACTGCTCAAGGTCGGAGGATGCGCGCGGGCTGCGTGGGCTCGGGAGACGATTGAATGAATTGCGGAGCACGCCCCCAATGGCTGGCCTGTCCGGAGTAACCCTGTGCGAGCGATAATAATCACCGGGGGAAGGCGATAGCAATTGAACCAAACAGTTGCAGAAATAGTCCAAGGCACCGATTAACAAAAGGACCCCCCTGGCGTGACACAGCTGCTATAAACTGATGCAATCACATTGGCCAATCCTGCTCACCCAGTCGGAACGTTGCAATCTAACACCTCCTCCTCTTCCTCCTCTTCGTCCTCCTCCTCCTCCTCCCTCCTCCTCCTCCTCCTCCTCCTCCTCCTCCTCCTCCTTCTCCTCCTCCTCCTCCTCCTCCTCCTCCTCCCCCTCCTCCTCCTCCTCCTCCTCCTCCTCCCGTGGGGAGGGGGCGGCGCCCCATGACGTCGATGTAGTGCAAGAACAACGGAGCGCCAGGATACAGCACATTGTCCACGAGCGCGCGGCCGTTGGGCGCGAGGTAAGGCTCCGCCGCGTGCAGGTCCTGCGGCCGCGGGCTCCCCCCCATTTCCCCGTCTCTTGTTTGCAGTGTCGTGGTTTTCGGGGTCTGCGCGCGTCTGGAAGCGGCTGGCCACAAAAGCATGCTCGCCTCCGATCATCGGAGGAGAGCGCGCGGCGTCAGCCCCAGACTGCGGACCCGGCGCGCCGAACGAAGAAAACAGGGAGCAAGGGTAGCAAGAAGGGGAAGAAGAGAACAAAACAATAGAACGGCTTCGGGGAGAAGGCGGAGCGGTGCGTTCCCCTGGGTGAAGGTGGGGGATAGGCTGAGAAAGAGGTGGTGGAAGAGGATGAGGAGGGGGGGCGAGGATGGGGAGGAGTGGGCGGACGAGGAGGGGGATGCTGATGCTGATGATGGTGATGATAATGAAGAAATCGAAAATGATGATAATGAGGGTGACGATGGGCATGCCGATGATGCTTCTGATGATGACGCCGGCGATCATGACGGTGATGGCGATGACGATGATGCTGACGACGACGATGATGCTGCGGATGGTAAGTGTAATGCTGAACAAGGGGGAAGGACTAGGGCAAGGAATGCCTTCTTGGGATTCCTGGGTGGGGCAATATGCGGACGCACGGCTTTCGCGAGAGTTAGTTCGCAAATCAAAACACCCGCGGGCGCCCCGGGAGGTGCTCTCCTGGCCGGTACCTCTACAGGCCAGAGGCGTGCGCGCGCGTGTGTGTGTGTGTGTGTGTGTGTGTGTGTGTGTGTGTGTGTGTGTGTGTGTGTGTGTGTGTGTGCGTGTGTTTTTTTTTGTGTGTGTGTGTGGGTGGGTGGTGGTGGTGGTGGTGGTGAAGAAAACGAAGGCAGCCTGCGAGACCGCAGATCCGCAGATCCTGCGGCAGGCGGGGCACGGCGGCAGCCGCGCCCCCCAGCGCGCGCGCCGAACAGCGGCGCGCCCTCCCCAGCGCCCCCCCCCGAGGGAAACGAAGGCGTCGACGCGCGTCAGGTGCATGAGGTGGACCCGCCATGTTTGTGGTCACATCCACCAATTACCACGCAGGATCAATGCACATTCGCTAAATCAAGCAGCGCCCGCAGATCCAATGGAGAAACTGGGGCCAGTGCTGCTGCTGCTTCCACGTAGCATAGGTGGTCCACTAACGCGCGGCTCAACAGCAGTGCGCGACCTGCCAGACCACGTGCGCTTCCAGGCTGTCTCTACAGCTGTCTCTGCTGTCTCTACACTGCTTGGGCACAAGAGGGTGCCCTAGTGCTGCTAAATCCGCCTGGCCATGCGAGCCGCCAAGCTGTCTCTGCACTTCCGCTGCTGCCCCCACCCCCCCGCGCGTCAAACGCCGGGTGGAGGTGCGACTTCGTCGCGCTGCATATGGGAATGGCTGCAAATGTCGCTGGTGACGGGCAAAGCCGGGGCCGTGCCACTTATCGCGAGCCCGTCTCCACGCAAGGTCCCGGCCCCTACTGGACGCAGAGCTGGATGCGCTCTCTGCTCGTTCTGACGGATGATTTCGGGCTCGTCTAGGCAAAGGGTCAAGGTGAGGGGCGCAATCAGCGGCGGCCGACGGCTCGCTGCGGCCCGAGAAAATACTTGTTTCAAAAGCGATCTCTCGGAATGCCGTCTCCTTTGCTTTGATCCGCTCCTGTGCCTCCGCCATCTTCGCCTCGACAGCGTGGGGGCCACAAGGACGGGCTATCGCTGTTGTCGTGATTAGCAGCAGTGGGGCTAGGAGGGATCTTCATCTGCTACTTGAGGGGCATCGCGCCGACTTTTTGTGGCTGATGCCTCTCCTCAGGTTGGCGAGCACTTTCAATTCTTGGTCGCCGGCCTCGCGCGCTCCTCCCTGAGCTTCAGCTTGCGCCTCTGCTGCGCCCGGGCCCCGCGGCCAATGCGCGCGAATGCGGTGGGCTGGCAAGTCATGTCGCTCAAGTCGCCCTTCTGGTTGACGGCGAGTAGACTGTGCCCCAAGGGCAACTAAAGGAATTCCTGGAGGAAAAGGTTCGTGCCGCGACAACTGTTGAGCTCGTGATCCCCGCCGTGTCGAAGTCGAGGGCACTTGGGGCATTGCTGCTCCATGTCCGTGTCGTGCCAATCGTGCCAGCTATTCTTTCGCGTGCTCCTGGGGCGCTTGCAGCTCAGCGAATGACGCGGTCATCGTTCTTCCTCTTGGTCGTGCAAGGCTAGTATGTTGGCCATCGGGCGCGCCAGCTCCTCGCGCCCCTTCTCCGCCGCCACCGTTCTCCTGGCGAAGCCGCGTGCAGGTGCAGAGCGTCTTTCAGCCCTCAGGCTGGCGTGCCGATCCGAGTTGATGTTGCCGCCGCGCAACCTCTGAACCGCATCGTCTATCCTCGCGTACTGCTCGACAGATGGGCGAGTTTCCGCGTGTCGGGCGTCCTGAATATGACGGTAGCCCGGCATGCTGTAGGCGAAAGACAGGACTCAGCCGTGCTTCCGGCGCACCAACAACTTTTTTTTCTCTACATGTTAAACGCGTTAACCGTGCCAGTGAAGTCCGCGTGCGCCTCCGCTGGTCGATCAGCGACCTGCCGAATGAAAGTGAAGTGTTCCGCCGTTGTCGATGTTGAACGGCGGCAGGCGGGCGCCAGGGCGCACGTGGTCCTGGCAGGTGTCACGCTGTGCAAGTCGATGAGAGTTGCGGACCAACCAGCTCTCTGCCACTCTATGAGGACAGGGAGGAGGACCCGTCGAGCGCGGAATCAATCTGCTGAACGTTTGCAGAGATCACGGCGCCGACCATGTTCTCAGGATCCTCAGGCGCATCTCCACCAGTGTGGTCCATTACGCATGCCTGCAGCCCGATGTCCATCGGCGGGATGTCGTCATCGTGAGACGTGAAGCACCCACTTTACATCGCGTGATCAGCAGGACCGTCTCGGATTTCTTGTAGCATTGACTTGCTAACTCAACTTCCGCCCTGGCTGTCGCTCCGTCGGCCGCCCCGCGCTTGCGCGTCCCGTCCGAGATATAGCAGCGCTGCCGGGCCCTTGCCCGAGTCCAGACACCGTCGCGCACGCAGTTCATGATGCAGAACTTCTGCTGCTTGTTTTCTGTCCAACTTTTTGGCCTTCTTCGTCGGCGGATCGTTGCGCCGCTGTTGCCCGATGCGAACTTCATGTTGGCGAATGATGCCTGTTGCAAATTTCTCCAACGTGAAAACGGGTTATCTGCGTGGCGTCGACCTCGTCGCCGCGATGACTTGCCCGGCCCATGCCTCATGTGATGCGCCGGCCAACTCTCTGCGCGCGCGGCGCGGCGCGTTGGATAGGGCCCCCGGGAAATATTCCACCTTGGCGCGACGCCGGGCCCATTGGCTGCCTGGCCTCGCCCAGCCTCCAAACCCTGAGAGGTCGCGTTGGCGACCTGCGGTCTCTTGGCCCTATCCGCTGCGCGCGACGCCACTGCAGGGCTGGCGGCAACGCCTCGCGATTAGTAAGACCACCAATGGATGCGTTCTTGGCGGTCGCCGAGGCTCCGCCGTTGTAGGGCATGCGCTGTCTCTGGTGCGATCGCCGAAACCGTTCCAGCCCGCTCTCGTTCGCGCTGTTCACCCCCGCCTCGAAGGTCAGCGCTGGCTGAGCACCCGTCCTGTGAATTCGAACGATCCTCTGCGAGGCTTTGACGGGACATGCGTGCTTGAGCTTGCCGAGCTTCCGAATCTTTTTCTGGTGCTTGAGCGCCCTCCCGTGGTATTTCTAGCCTATGCCTGGTGCCGTCCATCTTCTGCCGCCGGCGCCGTCGGTCCCGGGGTGGCTTGTCGAGACCTTCGCCGCGCCGCCGCCTACCTTGATTCCCTTGGCAATGGCGGTGCTGATGTCGTGGGCGCTGCTGGTGATAGCAAACTTGTTATTGATGCTATCTCCCGTCCGCTTGGCCGTCCATCGAAACCCGCGACCAGTTGCAACCGCCCTTTGAATGACCACCTGCTTGGTTGCCCCGCTCACGCCGAGGCCTGTGTCGCTTATGTACGACGAGAGAGGTGCATGCGGGTGAATCGCGACGTGCCGGTCATTCTCCTCTCCAGCGTGCGCCTTGCTTGCTATGTCGGCGTAGCTGTCGCCTGCAGGAACGCGTCGGGAGCCGTGCTGTGGTCGGGCACCGCGGTGGGTCTTGGCTCTGGTGGCGCGAGGTCCACGCCGCTAATTGCATGCCAGCTTCGCCCGCGCTCGCGCCGCGCCCGGATGGCGCAGTTGCTCCCTCGCCTCGTCTTGGGTATCGTCTCGTAGTGCTTGCTGTTATCTGCCACTAGTGTCGCGGTGAAACGCTCCTGGGTCATTTGGGCTGTCAATCGCTGACCTCTCTGTCGCAGCCTCAGCACCGCCTGGCAATTCGTGACTGTAGGGTCTTGGAATGATCTCGACGACCCCTGCCAAACCATGTAGCTTGACGTACTTCAGATAATCGAGCGATGACTACCCGTTGCCTTCGGCGACGTCGGCATCGCCATCCAAGTGCGCTGACGAAGTAATTGGAAGGCCCCGTCCGCTCGCCTGCTCCCCATGGCAGACTGGGCGCGCCTAGTCCTGCATCCGATAAGTCTGGTGTCGGGAAGCACGAATGCCGTCCAGGTTGCTGGAAGTCCGCGTCGGGGAGGACACCGAGGCCCGCCTTATCTCTGGCGCGCTAGTTCGCGGAAGACCTTCGCGATCAGGCATCCACGCTTCCGGAGGCGGTCGGCTGGACTTCCAGAGCCTGGTGTGTAGGTGTCCTCTGCTCCCTCGACTATCTCGCGCGTGCGCGCCGAGGATTCGCCGGGTCTACCTGCTGCAACCGTTGGCGCCTGTGCAGCGCGACCTGCCGTGGCGCGACGTAAGCCCGCCGGCTCCGTTCCCGCTTGCGCCCTCGCGCCGCCGCCTCCATCTGGCCGCGCTGTCCAGGTCGGCATTTCGATTGGCAGTCCCTATGTCCTCGGCAGATTCTTCCAGCGGCGCGGTGAGGATCGCCGCGCTTGAGCCACCGCCGCGCCGGCCGACGATTCAGCCACGCACGAAAACAAATAAAGCTTCGAAAGCCATGAATCATCCGCAAGCACTGGCCCGTCCTCAACTTCCCGACTGACTTTCAGTACAGCGATGCAAGTGAGCGCGTCCTCTTGCCACATCAAGAAGGTTGCTACGCGCTGGGCGCCTCCCCGATCCTTGCCTTCGTGCGTGAAGTCCACTCGTCGAAGTCGGAGACAGTTGGCGTGGCTGGGGCGTCTTGCGCTGGCTCCATTGAAATGTTCTAATCGCGCAGCTCCGAGAAAATCGAACCTTGCCCATGCCGCGGAAAGAAACTGCCGCGCTGCTGTCGTCGAGCCGCTCTCTGCGAAGCGGGGGGCCGCCGTCGCGCGCCCGCGCGCGAGGGCCCAGTCGTAGTTGTCCTCCAGGATGGGCCGACAGCTCGGGCGGCAGGTGGCAGCCGCCAGCGTGCGTGAGAAAGGTGAGCTTATGGCCAGTTGCGCTGAGCTCCGCCACCGCGGGCCCGCGCGGCTTGATCGCGCGCGCCAGGGCTGCCTTTGCTCCTTTCGCCAATCCAAATATCTCAGGACTCATGGCGTAGGGGTCGACCGCGGTGTTCATCGATGGGTTTCCGCCAGTCGCGTCCTTGGGACTACTAGTGATGCCTGCGCTTGTGCGGGAAAAAGTGTTGCTTCCACCTCAACTGGTGCCGTGTTCCAGTCGTCGTCTACGTCGCCGTTTGCCGCGCGTTGTTCGCCGTCCACGATGATGGCGCCTCGCGCTCCAGCTCGTGATGCCTAATCGCTTGCGCCATCGCGATGGGCGCCTTTGTCAGAGTGGGCTTTTCCAGGAGGGTCTGCTTTCCATGGTTGGCGTTATTTATCTCAATGGATTGTGCGTCCTGCGCCGTGCCACGGAACTTCTCGCGGGCGACGGCGGGCAGGTTGCCGCCGGTGCAAATTTGCGCAATTTGCGCGTGGAGCTGCTCGACCTCCGATTTCTCCCAGACGAGCTCTGCGCTGCGCTTCTCTCCAGCTGTCATCTCCGGGAAGGGGGGCGGACTCAGCCTTGATGCCGTTGTCGTCTCCATCAGGTTCACCAAGGAGCAGTGGCACGACGAGCAGCAGGGGCAGGAGCATGGCCAGCCGCGGGGCAAGACAAGGTGGGCATGGGCCTGGTCTGGAGGTTCTCCCTGTAGACCTCCTGCATCTTGGCGAGCCCAGGGTCCGCCATGACGCTGATGGAAAAGTTGGAGTCCTCGGGGCAATCACTGATGCCGTTGCTGTCCCGATCGAAAGTGAGTGTGTCCCCTGGAAATTCTGAAACCTTCGGACCTTCATTGCCGCGAAGGTTGCGTGCCTGCTCGGCAACCTCCGCTGCGAGAACCTGGAGCTCCTTCTCCTTCGCCTCGGTGAACGCCTTGCGGCCCAGAGTGTCCTCATGTATATTCGCCAGGTGCTGCTTGAAGGGCTCCATTCCCGCCGTGGCCTTGCGGAGCTGCGCTTGGACTTTCTCCACGTTCTGCGTGCTTTGCTTGTGCGCAACGGCTGGGGTGCGCATCTCTCGTATCTGCGAGCGCAGGGCCCCGAGCTTGGGCTTGAGCTTTGCCGCGGCGTCAGTCTCCTCAAAGGCCGTGAACTCTTTGAAGGGCTTCTCGTAGTCGTTGATATTGTTCTGGAGCTCGGTGCGCAAGACGAAGTCCGAGGGCGCGTCGCGCAACTCCTGGGCCCTGTCGCCAACGTCCACGTTGCCTTCTTTCTCTCTGTTCTGCTTGTTGTTCTCATGGGTCGTGCGCTTGAGCTCTTCCTGCAACTGCTCGAGCAACTTCTTGAGCTGCTGGCTCCAGGGAGCTGTCTTGTGTCACAAACCCGTTCCACCCTCAGATCTCGATGGTGTCATAGCCTTTTTCTTCGGCACCCTGGGCGTTGCGATCCTCTCGTTTTGCACGTGCGAGAACGTATGCACGTGATCCTTTCCGCAACGCCAAACCACCCTGCAAGCGCAATTCGCATTGCACACGCAATGTGGACATCCCCAATGAGGCGTCATCCCTCCACGTAGCACCCGTGGAAGGACCTTCGGCGGCGGCGCCATGACTGCCAACCGCAACGCAACGTCCCCAATCAGTTTTTTGCCAGCACGCGCGGGCTTGGGATATGGCCTCGGCTCAGACGTGTCCACGTGTCCCCCTGTGGAACTATGCATCTTGAGCCAAACTGGCAACGGAAATCTGAGGGGGGAAGGAGGAAGAGGGCGGAGGGGAGGAGGAGGGAGGAAGGAAACAGGGATGATAATGAAGCTGATGATGCTGATAGTGGTGATGATGATGATGATACTAGTGCTGGCGATGATGCAGACGATGACGATGCTGATGATGATGGCTTTGCTGATAATGGTGATCGTGATCATGATGACCATGATGGTGACGAGGCTTGCGACGATGATGGCGTCGATGCTGAGGATGTCGATGATGATCATGATGGTGATGATGATGCTGATGGTCAGGGTGATCATGCTGATGACGATAGCGGTAGTGTCGATGATGGCGAGGATGATGATGATGATGATGATGATGATGATGATGAGGGGGATGAACGAGTTTGAAAAGTAAGGCACGAGAGGAGGGGATAATACGGATGCCCTAGGGCGGACGCGAGAACATCAATTTTAACGCACTCCCCCACGGTCCTCGTGGTAGATGGTGCCACGGTGGTCCATCAGCAACAAGTCGATCTCGCCCAACTGTCCCGTGGCCAACCAGTCGCAAGCGCATCCCACGCGCACCTGCGCCGCTGTTGCCGTGGGGGAAATCTCCTCCCCTTCCTGACTTTCCTCGTTGCTGTCTTCTTTTCACCCAGCTCTTATTGTCCAACGCGAGTGCTCCTCGTCGTCTGGTTTTCGGGTCATGTCTCGGGGCGGCCCTGGCACCCAGTGGGGCGCAGCTGCTGGAGACCATCCCGAGACCGGAAGACAGCTGAAAACCGACGAACACGTCAGACCCCATCTCCAATTGTGCGACCCGAGACTCCAACACCTCTCCCTCTTCCATCTTCCTCCTCCCTCCTCCTCCTCCTCCTTCTTGCTTGTCCTCCTCCTCCTCCTCCTCCTCCTCCTCCTCCTCTTCCTCCTCCCCCTCTTCCACCTCCTCCCCACGCACCCCCTCCCCCTTGTCCTCCTTCTCCTCCTCCTCCTTCTCCTTCTCCTCCTCCTCCTCTTACTCGTCCTCCTCCCCCTCCTTCTCCTTCTCCTCCTCCTCTTCCTCCTCCTCCTCCTCTCCTCCTTCCTCCTTCTTCTCCTCCTCCCCTCCCTTCTCCTCCTCCTCCTCCTCCTCCTCCTCCTCCTCCTCTCCTCCTCCTCCTCCTCCTCCTCCCCCTCCTCGTCCTCGTTGGGGCGGGCTCCGGGATCCCTCCAGTGGTTCCAGGTCCCCGCCTGACTCGGGGTCCCTGGTCCTGTCATGTTTGGCACACCACCTATCGGGGATCCCCTCGTCAGCCAGTGGCTTTTCGGCGGCGCTTGAGCGCTGCCGATGCCGCCTTCGTCCTCGCTTCATGCAGCGAGCGCGCCAGCCGCGCGCGTGCGAGGAGGAGGATGAGGCGTGTTTTGCTGTGGGGCCTGTTCGGGCCTTTGTCCTCGACTGTACGACGCGCAACCACCTCCGAAGCAATGACGGCCAAAGGGCGGCAACATCTCATCATCCTGGACCAGCTGCTCGCAGAGGCCACCAGCGGGGCTGGCGTACAGGACCGTGCAGTCACAGCACCGAAACGAGCGACGGCCAAGAGGTGGTAGGCGAGAAGCGGCCCGTCCACACCTGGGATGGCAAGCGTCGGAACGCCTGCAGCAAGGCCCCAAACTCCAGACCCCGCCAGTGCAAAGGCGCGCACTGTCTTTCTGGAGCCTGACGAGAGACCCGCCAAGGGAGCTAGACTTGGAACCAGGAAGCGCGACCCTGGCAACGGGAAAGGAAGTTCCCGCACTGACCTGGTGCCCCGAGCTCCCGCCCTGCCCTTGCCTGGATTGCCTAGCCACCTGGTGAATAAGTCTGTGGACGAGCTGCATGTCCTGGAGCTGAGCAGGGCGACCTGGTACTTCTGATTCCTTGGTTTCGATATTGATCAGCACTGCAAGGCGCTTTGCGACCTGCAGCCGCAGGCTTAGCACACCGATAAGGTGGACGCTCAGGATGTGTGCCTCATACGCGGCTTCGCCGAAATCGTATGGGGCTCGGGGCGCAGAGAAGCTGTCCCGCCCCCCCCACAAGGCGCGCCCGGAACACCGAACGGTAGGCTCTGAGCCGTGCAGTGGACTGATTCATCGGACCCGAATGGATGGAGTTCTGCGCCAAGCCCGAAGCACTCGGCTCGCATCCGCCTTTCGCGGATACGGAAATTTGTAATGACTTGGGGTGCGATCAGCTAGCCCTGTGCTCCTTCGCGAAGGCCAGTACTATAGTCCCACCGGAGCAGCAGCCACCGCGCAACCTGGTAGCACGGCGGGCCACCTCTGAGTCCAGCTCAGCACCGCCAGACGACTAGGAGCCACGCCAGCTCTTCGATCACCTGGCCCTGGTCGAATCACCGCCGCCTCCAAGACTCCGCCTCGCGTCGCGGATCCTGGACGCACTCGCATCGGCCGAAGACCTTCGCCCTGGCACCGACATCGAACACATGGTGGTCGACCACTTCTGCTTCCTGGACCTCGGCGCCGCCAAGGTATGGGCGGAATGGGTCACGGCACAGCCTCCCCCGAAAGGGCCCAGTACAGAGCGGCCCTGGACCCCAGAGCCTGGAGCGGCTTGATTACAGCCAGTTCCAAGCGTCGGTCTTCGGATTTACGGTGCCCGACGATTTCCTCCCCGAGGGGGTCAACATGGACGGAGGACCCTGCTCTGGCTGAAGCAGTGTGGTACCTCGTAGAAGAAAAGGGGAACGACACGCAGTGGGGTGCGTACGTTGCAGACTCAGCAATCAGGATCCAAGCAGACCCTGGCGGGTACCCTGGGACGTTTCCTGCTGCACACGGGTGCCACCAGCCTGGCAGGCAGCCCGCTTCCACGTACCGCCCGCGCGGCATGGAGCTCACCCTTGTATCCAAGACGGTTGGCGGGCCCCTGACTGCAGAGTCAGGCTCCGGCAACCGCCTGGCTACCTTGCCCCCGCCCTCCCACGCTTGGTGGCGCGCAAGGGGGGTAGGGGGAGGGGGGAAGGCTTCTTAGAAGGAGGCTGCTTCTTCGAAGGCGCCAACCTCACATCTGTAGACAAGGCCCGCGCCTTACAAGAAGCAGGGGTGCTTCTAAGAATCTCCCCCCCCCGCCCCCTATCGGCTTTGGACAAACCTCCCTTTAGTAAACCTCCCTTCAGTGAAAACGGCCTGGGACCGAAACCGACGGACCTGGACCCGCAAAGATGACGGCCGCGACCCCCTCTCGCGAACCGAACACGGCCAATTCCTCAATCGACGTGCCAGGGTAGGAGGTCTGTCCACCCCCGACCCTGCCCCCCCTGCGCGTGTGGCTGACACGCGTCCCTCGGCCAGTTCTCGGGCGACGAAATCTATGCATATCCACTGCTCCCTGACCATGCCCATCTTGAACCCAGGAGCTGTGTATGCGCCCTCCCGGCCAAGCCAGGAGGGCGTGGCGTATACACCGCTGCGGGGTTGAGGATGGGCCTGGCCAGGGAGCAGTGGATATGTATAGATTTCGTCGCCCTAAGTTCACGACACCCAGCCGACTGCGAGGAATGCCCCGCCACCGCCGCCGCCCCTCGCGCGGGCCGGCGCAGGCACCGCGCCCACGGCACCGGAGGCCGCCCGGCACGGGAGGCCACACTGGCCAGCGCGGGCCCAGGCCGCACCCACGCCCCCGCGCCACCGAGCCAGGCGACGCACCAGCCAGCAACCCTGGAGGGACCAGCGCCAGCAGCCGAGCGAGCAGAGAGGCTGCGCCTGGGCCGGACCCCGACACTTTCTCGGCCCCCAGCCCCCCTGGAGCCGCCTCCAGCGCCGACCCTGGAAGGGGCCGGGGTTCCCTTTGGCGCGCCAATCGACACCAAGGGAAAATGTCTGGACTGGTCTGGCGACGGGCAGGAGAGGGTCCGCAAGGCGGCCCTCAAGGAGCTACAGAAAGCGGTGCACCTGGTGGGCGACACAGCGGAAGATCCCCCAGCCAGCCCGATCGCCGAGCGGGGTGCTGCTAGCTCGGCGTCCTCAGGCCCTCCCCCGCCGCCCCCACTAGCCGTTTCCCCTGCGTCTTGGGCAGCCAGGTCCTCCGCTGGCGACGCCTGGGGTACCTGGCACGACTGGCGCGGTTGGAGCGACCACCGCGGATGGTGGACGGAGTAACGCTGGATGGTCAGATGCCACAGACGCCCCCAGCCCCCGCCACAGCGGAGCACCCTGGAACACCGCGGCCCTGGACAGGACATACTGGTACGATTTCAACAGGTTCGGGTGGGACGCAACATAATTGTCGGCGCGCAGAAGGGGGTGGAGGGAGGGGGGAAGGCTTCTTAAAAGGAGGCTGCTTCTTCGAAGGCGCCGGCCTTACATGTATAGAGAAGCCCCGCATCTTCTAAGAAGCAGGGGTGCTTCAAAGAAGCCCTCCTCCCTCGCCCCACCTTCCTCTGCGCGTGGCTGATCAAACGTCTCCAGTCGGAACCAGGGTACATGCTGTGAGGGTGCCTGGCACTTCGACTGCCGTCGCCTGGGTTGCACCAAAGACCGCCGCAAGCCCCAGCACGCCCCAGCAGACCTTTTGAGGAGGGACTGCCGAGACGCCGAGAATTTCTTGGCTGACCTGGAGAGGGCGAGATACGACGTGACTCACTGTGCGGAGCAGGAGGTGATACCTGCTCACTGGGAGGAGGCTCGACAGGCCGCTGAAGACAGAGACCCCAGGAGGGACCAGGGCAAAGGCAAGGGCCAAGACTCCGGCAAGGGCTACGCCGACGCCAGTTCCCGCTCCGCCCACTCGGACCAGGACCGCAACGTGCGCGGCCAAGAACGGCAGCTCTCGCTAGGGTGCTGTCGCGCGGCGCCCGCCGCCCTGTCTCTCCGCCCTCTGGGCTCCCTGGGCTCCCCGTGTGCCGCTCGCGCAACGGCCCCTCTGCGCTACAGCTTGTGTCCTGGAACGTAGGGCCCCTGTCCGCCAGGGCCCTGCGCACCCGGGCCGCGTGCCCCGACCTGGCCCCCGACCGGTGCTGACACCCTTGGGCCTCGCGTTACGTGCTACCTCGCCGTGCTCCTGGATCCGGTGCATGTTGTCTCTGGCATGTCTGGCCCTCTGAACACCGTTGCTTGAGCTTCTGGCTCCCCCGGTTCTTCCCGCTCTGATCGGGCTTGCCCCCTGGTGAGCCGCCCTCCTCGGTGCCCTCGCACCGTTCTCCCTTCTCGCCTCTCCCCGTCTCTCCTCCCCTCCCTCTCCCCCCTGGGCACAGCTCCGCGGCGGCTGGCCGGAGTCCGTCCACCGCAGCAGAGCAGAGGCAGGTGGCGCACACCCCTTTGATCGGGGCCACTTCCGCCACTGCGAGCTCGAAGCGACGCCGCAAGGCGTCGACCGACTCGGTACTTGAGCATCGTTTATCCGACCCCCATCCCCAGTGGCGTGGCCTGGGCCCCACTGGCCGATATACCCCCCTAGATGGGGATATAGGCCGTTCCATTCGGGCTTCGAGGGGTGTTCCCCCAACTGGGGTGGTAATTTGGCGGGGGTCTCAAAGGGAATGGAGAGGGGATGGGGATCGGTTAAACGACACCGAGTATCGCGAGGCTCCGGGCCCTGAGGCTCG